ACACGTTGACTGTATCACAACATTATGCAAAATTTGACAAGATACTTTATTAGTTAAATAAATTTTATCAATAATACCTTGCCCAATTTATTGGCGCAATCATATTTAACAGATTGACTGCAGCATATTGCATCAATTATGGTGTCACTGCTATCGGAAATAACTTTACCAGGATCATAATCTGAATAAATATTTCTCACACAATTGGTCACATCTGATTTGATCATTACATAACACCTATCAATTTCCAATGCATACAACGGGCTTAAAGGGCACTCAGTTTGACCATGTTCATACGGGTGATCCTTGCACATGCCTTTATTAAACAAATCCTTTCTAGCGTCAATTTTAGTTTTCATGCTCTCGTATGCAGACCTGTGACAATCTGTCTGTTATAATAAATTAGTTTAATACAAATAATTATATAACTTTTAAATATATTATGTAATCGTTTTGTAATAAATTTTCACCATAATTATTAATATTTACTTATCTAATATTAGACAATAAGCATTAGATTATTTAAAGTTCTATATTATTTACTTATAGTAATTAATAATGTGTTTATTTGTAAATAATATTATCATTTGGAAGCCCAAATAAACATAACTGACCTTGCCGTAATTATCGTTACAATCATATAACACGGATAAAGCACAGCACCGGCGCATTACATCGGGTACACCAAAAGTAGTTAAGTTTGTTTCATCAAACTCTGGGACCACAACCCGAGTGCAGGCCATGGCTTCACCATTGATCTGATTGGCACAATCATCGCCAGAATCACATGATATCAAACCATAGTGTATCATTAGCAATGCAAATAATGTGCAAATGCGAAAATGTAACATGTTTATATCCATGTTTATTTAAGAATATACAAGCATAAGCTGTGTCGATGCTGTATATATAAAATAATAATTTATGATTTAGAAATTACTGTTGATCAAACTGTAAATTATTATTAATCCGTTATAATCCAAATGTAATAAGCATTTCCAAGAATAACTACTGGGGTGGAACTAAAATGTTGTTGTTCATATATTTTATATTTTATAATTTACAATCCTAAATTTTGTATGAAATTTTGTTTTTAGTATTAAAACTTTAAAATTAAATTAACAAAGTATAGCGTAATTAACATAAATGATATAACTTACTATTACAAAATTGCCAACCTGTTTCCTTGGTCATTGATGCCAATTAAGTATTGAGTATTATCAATTTATTAGAAATAGTTTACATTTTCACAAAACTAAGTTCTTATAATTAAGTAATTGATTTATTAAAGTAGATAAAACATAATTAAAACATCACATTGTTCATGTAATATTGTGTTACTATATTATAATAATAATAAGTTTTTATTATTCATAGACAAAATATATACATACGTAATACGTATTACGTATATTGGTTGGAATACTAAAAAACTTATAAAATAAACTGGGAAAATTATAATAATTAATTATTTATTGCATTATTAGATATAAATAATATAATTTATAACTAAATTACATTTTTTGAAAAAATATTAAAATAATAAATAAATATGAAAATATATTTAACAATAACCAAATAAAATATAAATAATACAATAAACGTCCAGTTGGATGCCGTTTAACATTTAAATTACATATTTAGTCATTATATATGTAAAATTAAGTTTAAGAATACAGTTTGTATTAAAAATTTACTATTAAATATTTTATTAATTATTATACAAATATTTTAAATGACTATGATAATTAAAATAAAGACTCTAAATAACAACACATTTTACAATTTAATATTACTCAACGAGAATGTTGTTATAAAATGTGACAAAATGTTATTTACCCTCAAACTAATGCTTTATTCGTAGCAATTAATGTAATGAGTTATAAATTTATTTAACAATTGTAAGATAACAATTTAGTTAATGTTATTGAAAATGTCAATAAAATGATATTAGCGTAAATGACCAAGCTGCTATTACCACATTTGGTTTGATTAGCCTTATAGGGATATGCTTTGCAATCATTTTCATTGTAATGTTTCTTTATTTTCTCAATTAGTGCTTTCATTGTTTCATAATCTAAAGTGTTGCCATCTTTAATTTGACCTTTACACGTTTTCTAAAAAATATATCAATTAAAAGTTATACTGAATATCAATGCACCATAATAGAACATCTATTGAACAAGTCTATTAATTATTGGTAGTATTAATCATGATGATAATATTAAATTTGATTAATTAATTAAAATAACTTACTGGGCCGATTTTATTGGCGCAATCATATAGGACACCAATAACGCAGCATTCTTTTTCATCGCTCGAAGTCACATCCATATTCACCAAATCAATTCCAGTAGCATTTTTAACACATGACTGTACATCTGCGCTAATCTCCATATAACATGGATTACTATACAATGCTAACGCGGGGTTAACATCGGGATCGACTGTAGTGGCCCCAAACACTGTATTAATTATTATGATTAATGTTAAACTGAATAATTCTAGTTTAAGCATTTTAACTTGGTGTAATAGTAAAAAAATAAAATTGTATACTAAAAATTTACAGCTTTCAGTTTTTTAATTTTTGCCTAGATATTTATACTAATTAGTTTAAACTATTTCAAACAACCTCTTAGTTTTTTAAAGTTACCACTTTGCACCGCAACAATTAGCACTTGAGAACTTGTGCAACTGTATTACAATTATATTGGTCAATAATTATTAAACTCAAATGATCAAGTACTAATTAGTGAAGTATTTATTAATTAACAATATTTGATTACAATTATTATCAATTTAATAAGAATTACAAAAACAAGTTGCATTTTATTTTGATAAGTAAGGTTAATTTTGTTGAAATAATTTTTATTATAATCTATAAAAAATAAACTAATGACCTTTTTGGTTTTCTAAATTGTATTTTATTTAATATTCTCAATAAATATAATATAATATATAATCAAATTTTCGTGTTATATTAACTATATCATTGTATTCACAATATTACTATACAATATTATTATAACTCTAATAATTCGAATACAATTAATTAATACTATTAACATTTAATACCCTTATTTAAGTTTAATACTTTATTCATATACAGTAGATTAAATTTTAAAAAGTCTATAAATTTGGGTACAAAATTATTATATGATATATTAATTTCATACATTCTTATCTCATTTGTACGAGATTTATATTTACACATTAATTTATAATTAACACCTGATTGTATAGTGAAGTATTTGATTGCACACTAATTGTTTAATATTTAATAACAGATTATTGATTTATTATTTTTAAAAGGTCACTTGTTACAAAAATTTCTTAAGATAATATTGTATATTTTTATTCATTACAATTAACTCAACGAACTTTATTTAATTTATTTAAAATAATAATGTTTTCATTGTTAATGTACCAATGAGCAGAATGATATTAGCATAAATGACCAAGCTGTTATTGCACTTGGTTAGGTTAGCTTTATAAGGATGATCTTTGCATTCATGTCCATTGAATCTGTTTATAGATTGATCGAGAAGTTGTTTCATATCTGTATAATTTAGAGTTCTACCATCCTGGGCAATTTGACCCTTGCACGCATTCTAATGAATCAGTAGTAAAAAATTATCTTGTCAACTCTTAATTAAGTAATATTAGTATTAAGTATAACAATAAAACCTACCTGGCCAAGTCTACTGGCGCAATCATATAAGACAGACATAGCGCAGCAAAAATTGGTTATATCTCCATTAGGTTTAGTAGTAGCCAAGTCAATACCAATTGCAGTTTTAATACATGATGTGACATTTGCGCTAATGTTCATATAACATGGATCACCATGCAACATTATATAAGGACCAATACCTGGATCGGGTGTAGGGGTAGCCCCGAATACTGTATTAATTAATATGTACATTATAAATCCAAACAATTCTAGCCTAAACATTTTAACTATTTGTAGTAGTTGCAATATAAGATTGTCAAAATAACAAAATTTTAAATATTTATTTCACTTCATATATACAGGTTAAAATTTTTGATTCTAGATTTATATTAATTGGCTCATGCTATTTCAGCCCATCAATTTACCACTTTAAACTGAAATAATTGGCACATGAGCACTGGTGCTACAGTATTGTAATATTATTGGTCATTAATTGTTGTACTTGTATTATTAAATAATAATATAATAAATATATTAATTAACGTTGCTTGATTAAAATCATTATCATAGTAATAAGAAATACAAAACAAATTGAATTTGTTATTGATAGAATTTTTTGTAATGATTTCTAGGAAGGTGCAATTGCCTTTTAATTTATCTCGTTCAATAAATTAATATTTTTATCAATTGCAGTATAAGATGAACTACTGTATTTCAATAAGTAGCAATTATAATTATATAAAGCTTCAGTACTTTAAATGCATGTATAAGTTAATACGATATATCAGGTTCACACATACTTATTAAATTTATATTAGCTCATTAATTTCCACTTAACACATTTACTAATTGTATTGCAATATTTGATTTCAGACCAATTGTATAAATTATAACAAAAGATTATTTATTTATTTTATCTAAATGTCAAATTGGTATTATTTAAATTTTATATTTTAATTAAAAATTAAATGTTAAACAAATATCTAATTAAAAATTAAACAATTGTTTTCCGATGTTTTTCCCATTAAAATAATAATTACAAATTTGGTAATACTACATACAATATTTATTTTTAGATAACAGTTCATTTTTTGTAAATTTATTATTAAAAATTTTTAAATTAATTAATTGCATTTGTAATAATTTAAAATATTTAGAAGAAATTGTGAATTAAAAATTACATTAATTTTATTAGACATTAGAATAAAATAATTTATATTTAAAATGTAATTAATCAATTAATCCGTAATTGTACCATGAACGGTGCCACAAAACACGGTTACTTTATCACCGAGAAGTCTGGCTATAATATCGCCCTCAATGGGTGTAGGGGTGGAGACAGGAATTATGAGCTTGGTGGTAAACATCTTGGTCTCTCCTTTTCTGATAGGACAGAGAGTGTCGTGACAGCCGTCCGAATCAAATTTGGGTATAAGTCGAGACAAATCCCTCTCAAGACCGCCAACTATTGCGTGCAATTCCCACGTGGTATGAATGGTGTCGGCACCTGTTTAGATAGTAATTACAATTTAATTAATCCATGTGAATTTATATTATTTTCAATTATGGTACAACAATTTACAAGTTTTTGAGTATTATTGTATTGTAATTAAGCAATAGGTTAATTTTAAATGGACATTTTAATCAACTCTCAATTTGTATAAACACATTATAATATATTTAATTTAAATTTAATTAAATTTAAACATGATCATTCTAGATTTATACAACTCACTGGCGGTGTAGTTAATATTAATGGTAATCTCGTTTCCCTTGTGGAGAGTACAGGGACTGGTTGTGCAACCGCTAACCTCAACACTTCTTAGTTCAGATTGACCTATATTTAAAACAAAGATTAATTAGTATTTACATTAATAATATTTTAATAATAATAATTAAATAAAATAGTTACCGCAATCTTTGAAGGGAATGCCAGCCGTGACAGTGGCGATGTATAGTGTTAAATATAAAGGGATCAACATGGTTTTACTTATTACTATTACTAACTTATAAGTATAACTAAAGTAAAATATTAATAATAAAATAATATAAAATAATAATTGCTATGATATTAATATTTATACCGGATAGAATTTATTTAACATAACAACAAATGTTATTTTCCCATAGGTTTTTGAGATAAATTTTGAATTTGTTTGCATAACTATTAGAAAATATTTATTTTATTAAGATTACTATCATTTTATTTCTAATTTAATAGTTATACAATAATTGTATAATTATACTGTAATGGTATATAATTATTAAAAGTAAAATATATTCCTTAATCTGTTTTCTAGTTTGGGTTTCTAGAATCTAGATACATGTACATCTTTATGTTTGCACAACAACCAGACACGATAGAAACTTAACATTGCATTATTCCACTTTGTAGCAGTTTACACTTTTAATTTAGATTTTTACATACTTCTAAAATTTTATTTAAAAATAACTATTAAATGTGTCTAAAATAATAAAATATATATAAATTAAATGATAAATTATGTTAAATATCTTTATTGTTTTTCAATTATATTATAGTTTAAATATTTTAAAATACTATTATTATGTTTATTAAATTAAATGCTTATAATATTATTATTAAAACAGTTAATACTAGCTAAAATTATAAAATAGATTTGTAACAATTATTTAATTAGGATAACAATTTAGCTAATAACATAAAATAAAACATTATTACATTGATATATACCACGTGTGAACTATTACATTGTGTTTGATTAGTTTTATAAGGAAACTCTTTACAAGTATTAGTATTAAATTTATCCCTTGTTTTATCCAAAATTGTTTTCATTGTATCATATTTTTCGGTTTCATCTTGGCAATTTTTCTATTAACATTATAATTTATATTTTATTAATATAATATTAAATAACACAAACTAAATTACATTAAAAGTGTTAAATATTTCACATGATAAATAAATCAACATATAATTCTTATAAATTATAATATTACCTGGCCCAATGTAACTGTGCAATCATAGAAAACTGATCTAGCGCAGCATTGATTTTCAATGTCACTAATGCCAACATCTGTATTAATGTTTGTCAAATTGAATCCTGGTACAATAGCCTTAACACACATCTCATCATATTTAGTGATCTTCTTAAAACAAGTATCATTAATCAAGTCTACCACCGGATCAGTTGGTACAGTAGTTTTGCATTCAGTTTGACCCTGTTTATACGGGTGTTCTTTGCACATATCCAGATTCATATACTCTATGCCATTTTGTATAATAACTTTTGTCGCTATAAATGTTTCGGCCGAACATTTATCCTGTAATAATAAGTAAGAATTATTTTAAATTTATATACAACATAAATACTATTGCAACCTAGACTATGAATAGTATGCAATATTGATTATTATCAGTTTAATTAGATTTTTATAATATGACAACTATTTTGTATATTTTAGATCTAAATTTTTAATAATGTACTTATGGTTAAAAATGTAAAAATTTCAATACCTCTTCAATAGTATTAAAACAATCAATGAGTACAGAGAGGGCACAACACCGGCGCTCGACGTCAGCGATACCAAAGTCTGACCAAAATTTTAAAATATTGAAATCGTCGGCACTTTTCTCAACGCATATCAAACTTCCGACTAATACTTGTTTAAAACACGGGTCAGAAGTTAAGTCATCGAACGGGGTCGCACTGTATCTACTAATTAACATGGACAATATACAAAAATATAATTTGAAATTGCACATTTTGTTTTCTAATGTGAAATATTGATTTATTGATGTGTTTAATTTACAACGCGTCAACTGTGTTTGCAGGTAGGTATTAGAAAATGTGTGTTTATCAGAAAATCAATATTTAACCATGGTCACCAGTAACTAATAGATATCTGATATAATAGTTTAGTTATTAATACAATTTCATGTGATTTAAAGAAATGTTGCAATTTTCATTGATTGTAAATTAGCCTAACAAGTAAGTAAAGAATTACCATAATTTATTATTTATGACTCAATTTA